TCTTGCCCAATTTCTCTATACATTTATCTGTTGTCCCCTCTAGGTTCTATCTAAATTCCTTCATCTTAGTTCTGCCCCATCTAGGTTCTCATCCACCTAGTTCTTTTCCATATCAGCTCCTCATCCATCTCCTTCTCTCTCATCTCGTTCTTCCTCATCTTGTTCTTCTCCATCTGGCTCTTCCTCATCTTCCATCTCATTCCTCTAGTCCTCTCTTCTAGCCCTTCAATCTAGTTCTTCCCCATCTCAGTTTGTTCCTCTCAAGTTCTTACCCATCTAGTTCTTCCATTCCCTTTTCTCTTCTCTGTCCTCCATGTGCCCTGGAAGTCCTGGTATGTATACACTTACAAGCAATATTCCCTTGGCAGTGTAAAGCCAGGCTTCCAGAGTCAAATGGAGGGGTGATAAGAATCACATAGAGAGGCAATAACCATTAATTATCATTTGCAACCCCAAAGGGAAGTGACCAATGGGGAAATTAATTAACTAAAGGCTAAATTAGGGTAATATCTAAGAAGAAGGATCTTATGTGCTCAACTATAGTCTTAAACGTGATTAGTAGAAAATGTTAAGAATCTATAAGTTGCTAGGTCAATGGGAGAAAATAAAACTGTCTTCTTTTTTCCTGTGACTCATATCTGTCCAAGCTATCTGCTGTTTTTTCTGCAGGGTGGGGGAAAGTGTGCTCAGTTGCTAGGCAACTTGTGTACAGCTAGATGCCTCTGGTGATAGTTAAAGGGAGATCTGGAACTAGAGGTAAGGTTTGGGAAAGGAGGAAGTAAAGCTTAATTGGCCCATCTGCCAGGCCTTCTCAAACAGGTAGTCTGGATGCTTAAGTCTATTCTTAGAGAGTACAGAGGTATCTCTGATAAGGTACTTTCCTCCACCTGGGGATGGACCTGGCCGGATGCTGCCAATGATGATAATTACAGGGAAGCTTGAACTGGGGTTCTGGATGAGCATAGCTGTGCTGTGGGATGGTCTGTGTGTCAAATTGTTCTGATTGGTCAATAAATAAAACACTGATTGGCCAGTGGCCAGACAGGAAGTAGGTGGCCAGGCAGGAAGTAGGTGGGACAAGGAGAGAGGAGAATTCTGGGAAGCTGAAGGCTGAGGCAGAGAGACACTGCCAGCCACCGCCATGACCAGCAGCATGTGAAGACACTGGTAAAGCCACCAGCCACGTGGCAAGGTATAGATTTATGGGAATGGATTAATTTAAGCTATAAGAACAGTTAGCAAGAAGCCTGCCACGGCCATACAGTTTGTATGCAATATAAGTCTGTGTTTACTTGGTTGGGTCTGAGCGGCTGTGGGACTGGCGGGTGACAAAGATTTGTCCTGACTGTGGGCAAGGCAGGAAAACTCTAGCTACATAGCTGTCAGCACAGAAAGTTATCTAAATATTCCTAGAAGTGCTTAGGTAAGGAGTTAGAGGTATATAAAGTTAGTAAGGCTGTAAGAAAGGCGGGTCCGAGCTAAATTGTGTAAAGCTATTACTTAACGTCCACCTGACCTAGGCGGTGTCTCCTTGTGGAATTTATCTTAAATCAGGAGACTTGCATGTGGACTATTATTACTGCTAGTCCTTGAAAGTGGCCAGGGGAGATATCTGATTCCAGAGAAAGCCTTCCTGAGGCTGTTCTCCAAATACCTGGAATGTGTATGTCCAGAGAGTGATCAGCCCACGCTGTTAGCCCTTCTTAGGGAAAAATCAACTGGGAAAACTATGAAGGCACACATGATTTTCATAACAGAAGACAGCTGATATATAACAAGCCAAGTAACACCAAAAGCTCCTTGGAATTTGGCTTCCTCTGGAGGAAATCCTTGATCCCTCCAGGTAGTGACTTTGCCATAACCTGCTGAGTTCTTATGATATATTCCTGCAGCCCACAGCAGTAGAAGAAAGGATAGGCAGGGCTAGCAGGCAGAGAAAATAAATTGAAGGAGAGATCTGGGAGGAGAAGGGGCAAGATCAAGGATTAAGAAAAGAAGGACCCAGCTACCCAGCTACCCAGCCACCCAGCTACCCAGCCAGAAACATATTAAGAAGGAAAGAAAGTATACAGAAATAGAGAAAGGTAAAAAGCCCAGAGGCAAAAGATAGCTGGGATAATTTAAATTAAGAAAAGCTGGCTAGAAACAAGCCAAGCTAAGGCTGGGCATTCATAAAAAAGAATAAGCCTCTGTGTGATTTATTTGGGAGCTGGCTGGCACCTCCCCCGCAGAGAGCCAAAGAGTAAAAATCAAGACTACAAGAGAGTGTTGGGTTCTCTGGAGCTGGAGCTATAGGCAGTTATGAGTCCCTGAATGTGGATGCTGGGAACCGAACTTGGGTCCTCTGCATGAGTAGTTTCTACTTTTCATTGGTAAGCGATTATCTCTCCAGCTCTGAATATCTTCTTTATGTTCAAGAGAAAGGGTTGTTTCAATCATGGAGTAGTACTATGTTAAGTGAACACTTCCAGGGATTATCAGCCAATTAAGACATTGGGATGAAGGCGATTCCTGAACTATCCCACTGGCAAAACTTTCAATGGCACCTCTTCTCCCAGGCACCGGGCAGGCCCAGACTCCCTACTGCCTTGTATCCTGGAACCCGACTCTTTCCAGCAAGCTGAGAAAAAGCCAAATATCACCTGGGACTCAAAGGTACAAAGTTAGGCTATCATTTCCAAAATGCTTCTTAAGCATCTGATCTTCAGTCATGAAGACCTGATTCCCTGGGACTTTTCGCCTGCATTTTTTGTTTGTTTTTCAAGACAGGGTTTCTCCGTGTAGTTTTGGTGTCTATCCTGGATCTTGCTCTGTAGACCAGGCTGGCCTCGAACTCACAGAGATCCACCTGGCTCTGCCTCCCAAGTGCTGTGATTAAAGGCGTGCGCCACCACCGCCTGGCTTTCACCTTCATTTTTAAGACCAACTCCATCCAATAGAAATAAAATCCTAGGTATACATATAACTTCAATTGGTCTAGTAGCTACTATATTAAAAAATTAGAAGCAGAGCCAGGACTGATACAACAGCCATTTGTGAGTTTAAAACCAGTCTAGGCAACTTAGTAAAATTCGGTCTGCTAAATAAAGAAGCAATTTAATTACTTTTATCGGTTTAACACAATATATACAAATATTATCATTTCAATATAGTCAATATTAAAGGTCACCAGTGAATTTTTTTTCTCTTCTGAATCCTCATAATCCAGTGAGTCTATTTCTACTCCTTGCATCTCAAATCAGACTAGCAACACTTCAAGGGCGTGGTGCCAGCACGTGTCTGGACTAGCAGCGTTCATAGTCTCAGAGCCTGACCTTTGAACTGCTCATTAATTACCATCCCAGCAACATTGTTTATCCCCTCATTTACAACGAACTGGTTATTGGTTATCAGGCAAGGCACATGCTCCCCTACTGAGCTATATCGCCAGCCCCTACAGGCTTCCTGAAAACAAAGTTAAATCACCCAGTTAAAGGGATGGATGGTCCTTCTCATTCCCCTCACTCTGCAAGTCCAAGACCCCTTTATCCAGCCCTTCTTCTGTGTAGGTGTGGTGGTTTGAATAGAATGCCCCCCCCCCATAGACCCATAGGAAGTGGCACTGTTAGGAGGTGTGGCTTTGTTGGAAGAGGTGTGTCACTGTGGGTAGGCTTTGAGGTCTCAGAAGCTCCCCGCCAGGCTTGGGTGGCTCAGTCTTTTTCTGCTGCCTGTGGATCCAGAAGTAGAACTCTCAGCTGACTCTCCAGCAACATGTCTGCCTGCATGCCACCATGCTTCCCACCATGATGATAATGGACTAAACGTCTGAACTATAAGCCAGCCCCAATTAAATGTTTTCCAGGGCTAGAGGGATGGCTCAGTGGTTAAGAGCACTGACTGCTCTTCCAGAGGTCCTGAGTTCAATTCCCAGCAACTACCTGGTGGCTCACAACCACTTGTCACAAGATCTGGTGCCCTCTTCTGGCCTGTAGGGACACATGCAGGCAGAATACTGTATACATAATAAGTAAGTAAATAAATAAATCTTTAAAAAAAAAAGTTGCCATAGTCATGGATTCTCTTCACAGCAATAGGAACTCTAACTAAGATAGTAGGCTACAGACAAGAGTGGGGAAAAACTTCTTTGTCCGTATTTTAATACTTCTTGGATTTTAGTCACATGAACATATTACCTGCCCCCATAAGACAGAATAAAAAAGAGGTGTGTCTATGTATAATGTCCCATGACAAGAAGCTTGTCTAGCTTGTATAAAAAAAGTTAAGATCACAAAAAATCTCTTCTCTCTTCCCATGAGAAAGTTGATATATAATGCATGTCTCACCCAGCAGGAACAGATCCTGCTTGTAAGCACCCATTCTGTAGTTCCACATACTGAATATTCAGCCAAACATCCTTCTTATTCTTGTCCCTCATCTCCACAGATCCCACACCAGTTTATAGGTAAGCTCTATTATTTCCTATGACAACTGAGTGTCCACGTGCATTTGAACCAAATGTGAGTAGAATCCAGATTCCTTTTCCTCTCGTTTAAAACTGTATCAAATGCATTTACTGCCTCATCTTCATCTTGAAGTGTTTTTCATTTCAGTCTGAACATCTCTTAGAGCACCTTTGTTCACATGTGTGCTGGCTAGTTTTATGTCAACTTGACACAAGCAAGAGTCACTGGAAAGGAGGGACCCTCAATTAAGAAAATGTCTCCCTAAGATCCAGCTGTAGGGCATTTTTTCCTAATTAGAGATTGATGGGGGAGGGCCCAGCCCATTGTGGAGGGTGCCCATGCCTGGGCTGGTGGTCCTGGGATCTATAAAAAAGCAAGCTGAGCAAGTCACAGGGAACAAGCCAGTAAGCAGCACCCTCCATGGCCTCTGGCTTAGTTCCTGCCTCTTCCAGGTTCCTGCTTGAGTTCCTGTTCTGACTTCCTTCAGTGAGAGATTATAAAGTGGAAATGTAAGCCAAACAAAGCCTTTCTTCCCCAACTTGCTTTTGGTTGTGGTGTTTCACCATAACAATAGTAACCCTAACTAAGACGTCATGGAAGCAGGGTATTCTGTGTTGCTAGCCCATAGTTTAATCGGATCCTTGTCAATTAAGTCTTGAGTTGTCTTTAGTGTGCACTGTTACAACCAGTGCAAGACTACAAACCTTGTACTTAACCACTTGCAAGTGTGCAAGCATGTCTTCAGGATAAATCTCTCAAAGGAAACCTGCAAAAAGTATAAATGAACAGCTAATTTTGATAGACATTACTAGGCATTATCAATTAACTTACATTTTAGGGGTTTTTATTGTTGTATGATATTCTGAAGTTCAGAAGGTCGATGCTATAGTGGATGGGCCTCTTACGATGGTCAGTCTTGACTGTCAACTTGTCAAATTGTCAGCTAGATGAGATCTAGAACCCCCTATGAGAGGAGGCTCTGGCATGCCTGGGAAGCATTATCTAGATGAAGTTAGTTGAGGTGGAAATACTTGTCTACTGTGGATGGCGCCATTCCCTGGGCTGGAATCCCAGACTAGACACCAAGAAGAAAACCAGCTGATCACAAGCACACACAGCCTTGTTTCCTGACTACATGTAGTGTGAGCAGCTGCCTCAACTCCTGCTGCCTGACTTCCTAGCCATGATGGACTAGACCTTGGAACTGTGGACTGAAATAAGTGCTCTCTACCTTAAGTTGCTTTCATCAGGGCTTGGGGGTTTTGTTTGTTTTATCACAGTAGTGAAGCAGGTAACTAATTGTGATGGTTTAAATAAGAAGGGCCCCCATCGGCTCGATATTTGGGATATGTGGTGGGACTGTTTGGGAAGGGTGAGGAAGCGTGGCCTTATTGTAGGAGGTATGTCACTGGGGGTGGGCTTTTAGGTTTCGAAGCCTTGTGCTTGCAGATCAGGATGTAAGCTCTCAGCTGCTGCTCCAGTGCCATGCCTGCCTGCCCGCTGCCATGCTTCCCGCTGTGATGGTCACAGACTCACCCCCTGAAACCGTGAGCCCCAATAAAATTTTTCTTCTAGAAATTGCTTTCGTTATGGTGTCTCTTCACAGCAATAGAAAAATAACTAAGACACTAACACACCGCTCCTACGGGGGCAGGACACGAGGTTACCCTAAATCGTTGTATACAAGCAATGATACCATAAGCATTGATTTATAAGATCCTTTGTGTGTGTGTGTGTGTGTGTGTGTTTTTCCACAATCACTGACAGAGTGAAGAGAGAGGGTGAAAAGTAGGAAGAGGTGGGTGGGGGTGAGGGGATGGGGGTGGAGGTGGGAGTGGGAGGGTAGGGGGTGGAGGTGGGGGGTGGGGGGTGGAGGGTGAGGGGTGGGGGGTGGAGGTAGGGGTGGGGGGGGGGAAATTAGTGCCTAAGAAAAGACAGTGGAGCAGGGATTGTCATAGGACTTAGAGCCACAGCAAGGTTTGAGGTTTTATTCCAGACCAAGATTTTATGATTTACTTCTCAAAGGTAGCCACCTGGAAAGTGGTTGGGAGGGAGCTGTGGGAAGCAAGAGATCAGGCAAAAACCTGGGACGCCTGGCATCAGAAGGAGGCCTAGCTGGAGAACAAATTCTTAGCTGGTTATAAGCAGGGGAAAGTAAATAGAACAGGAAATGCCCTGCTTCCTACAGTGGCCACCAGGGGGCACTCTGGAGCATGAGATGAGGGATACAAGGATCATTGCGCCTGGTAAGACAGGTGCAGCTTCTGCCTTCAGGGATTTAGCAAATAAGTGCAGGTACGGGTCATTGCAGCCTGTGTAGCGTCGTAAAGACTGGAGGCTTTGCACTCGAAACACTACCTTGTTACCTGGGTCAAGTGTTTTCTTTTCTCTTTGGCCCTCCAACCTCCCTTTCCCTCTGACCCTTGTCCTCTCTCTAATTTCTTCTTTGGGAAAGGTTAGCAAGGAGCTACAATGAGATCACTTTGAAAAACTCTGGCCCTGGCCCCTAGTTCCTTTTCTACCCCAGGGAAAACTTTGGCCCCGGCCCCTAGTTCCTTTTCTACCCCCAGCGAAAACAAGCTCAGTGAGAGTTTCTTTGGCTCATGGTTCCAGATTACAATCCACCACGGCAGGGAAGTGACGAGACAGAAATTTAGGGAGACGGTCACACTGGATCTACAGTTGAGAAGCAGATAGCAGTGAATGCATGCTGCTACTCAGTTCTCTTTCTTCGCTTACACAGCCCAGGTTCCCAGGGAACGGTACCAATCATGGTGGTCTTTTCAGTTTAATACGTCAAGATAACACCCTCTACACACAAGCAGGACCAGAGGTCCATCTCCCAGGTGATTCTGTTTAGTTGATAACATAATCATCACAACTGGATTTTAAAAGGGAGTATTGACTTACATTTGGTGAATGGGTGGGAAAAGACCTCTTTCCCATTTGTCTTCTGGAATCCCTGCCAACTTTTCCTGCCAATCACATGGGTTCTTCTTCAGCTCTGTAATGTCATTAACAATGGAGAAAACTGGGCTCATTCAATCTGTGCAGTGGTTTGCCTGAATCATAAGCTTGGAGGAAGTGCAAATTAATTGCTTGCATATTTTTAATTTATCCTCTTTCAAAAGTTACCCCTTTAAAAGATAAAGCATTTATTTCCTCCATCCTTTGATTATCAGGGAATTCTTAATATACTAGGGAGAGTAGATGGAGGCATCCATTTATTTGATTAATGGATATCAAATTATTATGGTTAAGTTTATTGTTCTAGACCACATTTCTGTAGGGACATTAATAAATGTGATTGCTTTTGCTAGAATATTCGTTAATCCTGTGGTTTAGTGTGTTGATAATGGAACATGCTGTTCCACTGACTCTTAATGAGCCTTCCCTGCTGGCTAGCAGAAAAGCAAAGAAAATGATTTTACAAACGTGTATACAGCAGGAGGACTAAGATAGTTTTCAAATCTCCTTACGCTCTCAGATGATGGCACAAAAGTACACTTGAATATCGTTTTCTTTTCTTACAGGCTCTCCATCAGCCTTTTAAAAATTTAACAGAGAAACCTGAAAAATGGTTGCTAAAGACTGAATGGTGTCCCTCCCCATATTCCCAGAATGAAGTCTTAATCCTCAATGTGGTTGTGTGTGGATATGAGGCCTAAGGGAGGTGATGGCGGTTTTTAAAAAAATAATAAAGGTGAGTCCTTAATGCACCTGAGCTGGTGGCCTTCTATAAAGAAACACTGCCAGAGCGGGGCGCTCTCTGTCTCTGTCTCTGTCTTTCCCTTCCTCCCTCTCTCTCTCCCTCCCTCCCTCTCTCTCTCCCTCTCTCTCCCTCTCTCTCCCTCTCTTCCTCCCCCTCCCCCTCCCCCCCTCTCTCTCTGCCCCTGCCATATGAGAAGGCAGCTGTCTGTAAGCCAGGAAAAGCTCTTGCTAGGAACTGACCCTACTGGACCTTGATCTGAAACTTCAGACATCAAGAGTGGAGAAAATAGCATTTCAGGAGAAGCCACCCAAGTCTGTGAGATGGTGCCAGGGCAGGTGACCAACAGTGCAGCAGACTTTGGAAATCCTAAAGCAATGCTCCTTGCTGTCTGTGGTTGCGAGGCTGTGCTGGGCTCGGAGACCTTAATTACAATCATTCGCTGAGTCGGCTTGGGGGTCTTGCCTTCTTTAGGGATCAGCAGTTCCAAGTGGACGAAGCCACATGATGATGAAAGCCTGCTTTGTTGATTCAGGTCATCCCACAGGTGTAAGGTGAGATAGTTTTATTCGCAACTATCATTGGGGCTTTCTAGTCAAGGACAAATCAATGTTTGGCAAATAAGTGCCAAGTCAAATGTTAACTCCTATGTACACCTTGAATGTCTTCTGCCCCCAGAGAAATCTATACAGATCAATGCGTATGTATGCAGGGCTATCCTCCCCACCCCCATCCCTTGTTGACAACATAAAATTAAAAGCTTCTCTCTCAAGGAAGCTAGCTAAGCATGCACATTTGCCTACTCCTGTCCCAGAGACTGTCACTGTGTTGTTATTTTTAAAGGAGAGGGATAAAATTAAATCATCAAAGAGGATAGGAGAGGAAGTCAGCAATGAACAATATAAAGCTGGAAGACAGATAAGCAGAGCGGAGAAAGCAAAAACCCAGAACATAGGGAAGAGAAGGCAGATAAGGCCACGAGCTGCCTGGCAACAGCGTTGACAAGGACCTCACACCCAGAGAGACTCACACAGTGCAGCTCTCTGCTTTGTTATCACAATAAATACCTGACTGTTTTATAGAGAAAAGAGTATTTAGCTTACATTTTGGAAGCTAAAGGTCTGGAATTGGGAGGTGTCATCAGGTCAGCAAGGGCTTCCTTCCTTGACTGTGAGCATCACGTAGCAGGTAGGATCATGGCTGGATGGTATGCAAACAGGAGAAATCATACTATAAGATAGGAAGCCAGAGAGAATTCGGGGCTCAGGAGCACTCTGCCATGACAACTCGCTTGGATGGGAACTAATGGGGTCCCACAGAACTACCTTAGTCTCTTCTAAGGGCAATGCCCCCCATTGCCCAATCACCTCCCATGAGCCCCCCTCTTTTAAAGGCCCACTTCCTCTCAGTTCTACCACACCGAATGCTAAACCTCCAATTCATAAGACACATCCCTGGGTCTTTTTGGTTTGGAGACCAAACCACAGCACAAGATGCTCAGCACAAGATGTTCTCTGAGCCACAGCGCAAGACAGTAGCTCACATGTTAGCTACCATATCATCACCCCTGCTTTATTATTTCACATTAAAATTACACACACGTAACTTATTCTTTTGTAGAACTACACAATATTCCATAACTTGTTCACCCATTCTTGTTTAAAAAGCTTTCAGATTATTTTCATTTGGGTTCCTTCCTCCAAGGATATAATTCCCCGCCCCCCCCCAAAAAAAAGGCACAACAAATTTCTTATATATCTATGGCATCTATATTGACATTTTTATTTTTATAAGTTACATTTTCAAAAGTAAAACTTCTGAGTCAAAATGCCTGTTATAAATTTCATTTTAATTTGCCTGCCAGCTGGTGTAGCATTTCCAGGAGCTACAGTAGCAGTACTGAGGCTCACCCATACCAATACTGAGGCTCACCCATACCAATACTGAAGATCACCCATACCAATACTGAGGCTCACCCATACCAATACTGAGGATCACCCATACCAATACTGAGGATCACTCATATTCCATTTTCCACTCAATGTTTATGTTGTTGTATTGTACTTCTCTGTTATGGCTGATGGTTTCTTGTCTTCCTGGCTTTCAAGTGTTCCAGTTTTTTTCTTTTCTTTTCTTTTCTTTTAAGACAGGGTTTCTTTGTGTAGCTTTGGCGCCTTTCCTGGAACTCACTCTGTAGCCCAGGCTGGCCTCGAACTCACAGAGATCCGCCTGCCTCCCAAGTGCTGGGATTAAAGGCGTGTGCCACCACCACCTGGCTCCATGCTGAGATTTTTTACAAATACTCTTGTTGCTGGAGGGCTTCTCTCCAGGTTCCACCAAGCCCCACAGTCCCACAATCCACGTATAAAATAATCACTCAGACGCTTATATTACTTATAAACTGTATGGCCGTGACAGGCTTCTTGCTAACTGTTCTTATATCTTAAATTAACCCATTTCTATAAATCTATACCTTGCCACGTGGCTGGTGGCTTACCGGCATCTTTACATGCTGCTTGTCCTGGCAGTGGCTGCAGTGTCTCTCCCTCCTTCTTCCTGTTTCCCCAATTCTCCTCTCTCCTTGTTTTGCCTATACTTCCTGTCTGGTCACTGGCCATCAGTGTTTTATTTATATAGAGCAATATCCACAGCATACTCTTCTAATTTTTTTTGTTATTTTATTATTTATATTTATAATCTACCTGGAATTTGTTTTTTATTAGAGTATGAAATAATACATGGAATGATGATGGCTAACATTTACTGATAAATTTCTACATGTGGAAAAAATTCTGTATAGAGTTCACATAGATAAGAAAATTGAGTATTGTAGAATTTAAGGGATCATTCAAGCTCATGTATCTTCTAAGACTAGAAATTGAGACTTAAGCAAGCAATCTTACTCTGTGCTTTATCTCCTCCAATATTCAGATGAAGAGCTAACTAACTCATTCCATCGTGTGTGTGTGTGTGTGTGTGTGTGTGTGTGTGTGAGAGAGAGAGAGAGAGAGAGAGAGAGAGAGAGAGAGAGAGAGAGAGAGAGAGAGAGATCATAGGGTGTCATACATGCTACAAGTGTGGAGCTACAATTTCCAGCCACCAAATTTCAAGCACCCAAATGTGGTCACTTTGTCTCTGGATTCCACTGTGTTTGGGCCACGGCAATGCTGTTTTCATTCTATCGTTTCATGGTAAGCTTTGTTTCCTCTTTGATAAGGCAGGCCATGGCAAAACCATCTAATAAATTAATAAATTTTGGATATTTATTCTATGCAAACATTCAAATCATTGGTCCAGTTCCAAAGAAAACAAGCCTGTGCATTTTGATTTGGATTGCATTAAGTATGCCTAAATTTGTTAAGAATTGACATTTATCTATCAATCTCTCTCTTCAGTCTTATGGTACAATGTCCACTTATTTAGATTCTTTGATAAAATGTTAGACATTTCTCTAATTCTTCATACTCTTATATGAATTTTCTAAGTTATCATTTTTGTGCATAGAATATGTTCACATATGTGTTACAGAATCACGGAAGGAAAGCTGATGATTTGTGTGCATGTGTCTTGCCATGAGCCTAACCTCTGTTTTTGTTTTTGTTTTGGAAACAGGGTTTCACTGTGTAGCCCAGGTTGGCCTGGAACTCACTGCATAGCCCAAGTTGACCTCAAAAATCACAGTTCTCCTGTCTCAGCTCCTGAGCCCTGGGACATAGGCCTGTGCCACCAGAACTGGCTTCTACATGTTTAATGGAGTCTTGCTTGTTTAAAGCATACTGCAAAGGCTTGCTCCCTCTTCAGCTGTTAGATTTTTGGACAGAGAACGCCATCACTTCCTTTAAAAGCCGCCTGAAACAACTGCCCAACAGCACAGAGTGCTCCCCTCCGTGTCCCTGTTCATCTTGACAGCAGCCTTAAGTTTTCACTCCATAGAACAACCTGGCTGGCTGGAAACCAGTCACTGGTGGCTTCAGATAGTGTCCCGGTGCTCCTATTGTACTTAGAATTTATTATTATTGATGGGTTTGGTTTGCAGCTCAATGACAGAGCACTAGCCTAGCGTTCGGAATGCCCTAGGTTCAATGTCCCGAATGGGGAGAGGGGTGACTACTTATTGGTTGTTCTTTGTTTGTTTGTTTTTATCTGGTTTGGGTTCTTTTAAGACAATGCCTCACTGTGTAGGTCTGGCTGGTCTGGAACATGTTATGTGGACTAGGCTGGCCTCAAACTTGCAATCCTCCTGTCTTTGCCTTTCTAGTGCTGGGGTTCTAGGCCTGTGCCACCACACCCAGCCGGTTATTAGTTGTTGTTGATTTTAATCTAGTGTCACAATCACATAACTTCTGCCTTTACGTTTGTAACAATCTTGTGGACACTGTTGTATCTCCAATGCTGTGGAGTGCACCGTTGTGGAGCATGCGCCGTGTGGTCATCTCTGCACCTCGGCCATTCTGACAGCCTGTTTTCAGTACACTGTGTGATTCTACCGTGTTCTTAAAGCCACAAAAATCTACTACAAAATACACAGCACAAAAACTACAGAATGTTGTCTGTTGAGAAAACACATGTAAATGATTCTAAATAAAACAAGGGAATGCAATCCAGTGGTGTTAAAAAACCGGCAGCAAATGACATAACTCCAAGCCAGAACAAGTAAACCAAAAAACATGCACTAAAAGACTTAGAAGGGAAAAAGGCTAGCTACACAAATGAAATCTCAAGAAAACCAGAAGCTACATGCTAACAACAGCCAGTTAGGACTGGGAGTGGGAAAATCCTATTCATGTTTTTGAAAACATTTTCCTGAAGTCTTTGAGAACTTGTAACATGCCGTGTTGAGAATGGAGAGAAAGAATGGGTGGAGCCCTGCATGCTGTCTGATGATTAATGCGTGTAAACCATTCATGATAGAGCAGGATGCATGCTGACTCACTACGCCTCTCCCCTTCAGCCAGAGAAGGGCACCGGTGGAATTCAAAACAGTCCTGGGGCTCTCAGGAAATTACTGATCAAGCTTTGTTTCTTAAGAATTCCTGTAATTAAGGATTCATTTTCTTTGGTTCTTGCCTTGGCATCAAGGGGCATGACTGATGTCACCCCAAAAGTCTTCTGTATTGTCGCTGTAAAATTTATTTTTTTAAAGCTATACATATTGCTTGGCAATCCTTGTAGAAGTGCAGAACTGAGCTGTCTCATTTGTGGAAATTTTCTTGTTTCTAGGAACACGTTCATTCATTTATGAGTTTGACCAATATTGGGCTCCCGTGATGTGAGGTACCAGTGACAGGACCAGAGTGGCAGTATGCTAGGCTGGAGCCCGCCCTCAGGAGCTTGGGGACTAATTGCATAAGGATGGTACTGCACAGATTGTGAGTAACTCACCACAGTCCTTTGCGGCCACAAAGTACAGTTGGTAACTGAAGAACCATCTCAACGCTTGACTGCAGAAATTGGTCTTGTTTTTGTTTGTCAGTCATAGATTTTTATTATGTTAGAGTCCATATCTACTAATGCAGCCCAACTCTGTTCCCACTGATACCTTTCCTGCATGTTTTTCTTTTCTTAAGCAGGGAGAAGCTGTATTTCCTCTCTGCCCTTTCTCTAGGGCTGAGGCCAGCACGCATTAGCTGCCTTTAAGGTGGGTCCTGACCCAGACTGCATGCACACACTGGTGTGAACCCAGGGTCCCGGGCAGAGGTCCCCACCCACACATCTGGGGATCCCTGTTGGGATAAGCAGGGGAAGCCTGGCACCACCTTTACATTGATAGAGGAGTGAAGGGAAACATCTAGGGGTTTGGTTTTGGTTTTAATTTTCTTAAAAAGAAATCTGTTAAACCAGGAGCCACCCACCCACTGTCCACATACTTCACTTTCTAATTCTAGTCTTGGGGATTTACAGGAAGTAAACCAATGAAACATTTTAAACGGCCCACCACATTCTTTGCCCATCAAGCACTCCCAGTGGGTGAGCCATTGTGGGGATGGCATGTCGCAGAGACACCTACAGTGAGCAGAACATGTGCCGCTCCTTTGAGGCAATGGTGCTATTAGAAACAGAACATGGGGTGGAATTCACACACAGCCAGTAAACGCACGAAACAGCTTTAGCTTGATTAAAAACGACTTAAAGAGAATTTTGAATAATGCCAATGGTTTAGGAAGCAATTAGCCATCTTTCCCCCGAAATTCTTTCCTTGAACAAAACCGACACCCTTTTATGTGAACTAGAACAAGCGATGACTGACATCTTGGTGAGCTCTTCTTGCCAGACATGAACGGAAGAACAGAAGCCACTCCTTCATGATGGAGTTGTCAGTCTGTGCCTAGCTCCAGTTTTTCCAGGTTCTGTGGCCTGCCACCTTGTCCCGGCCAGTTCTGTGTCAACTTGACACAAACTAGAGTCATCTAAAAGGAGGAAATCTCAGTTGAGAAAATGACTCCATAAGGCCCGGCTGTAAGGCGTTTTCTTAATTAGCGATTGATGGGGGAGGGCCCAGCACATGGTGGGTGGTTGCGGTGGTTTGAATGTATTGGCCCCCATAAGCTCATGGGGAGTGGCACTATTAGGAGGTGTGGCTTTGTTGGAGTAGATATGGCCTTGTTGGAGGAAGTGTGTCACTGTGGGGGTGGGCTCTGAG